TTGCTTCTGTAGATTTTGCTTTACTTGGTCATTGAATGTGATTTAGATCATGTTTAAAGGGTCTAAATGGGCCTAGCTTTCACTAAGAATTCTGGGAACTGTAGTTTAGTGGAGTTGCTTGCTCCCACTCAATACAAATTCATAACTAATACTTCTTCTGTAAGCATAGCATAGAGCTAATTTTTCCAAGGGGCCACATGAGAAACTGGGACTGTTGCAGAGGCCAACCCCGATGCCCCCCTGCCCGCTACCATTGCTGTCCCAACCCCACCGCCAAGTCTGCTGACGCTCTGCCTATTGCCACCAATGCTGCAGGCCAGATGTGGCCCATGGGCCATAAAATACTTAGATGTGGCATAGAGGATGCAGGGCGTGCCATAACTGGCAGAAAAGGTTGATATCGTGTGTATCAGTAGTGTACAATCTTTAGCTTAACTTCTGCTTTCTTCTTTGATGGGAATTCTTCATCTGTCGCTGTGTTGAGAATTCCATAAGTAGACAGCATCGCTCATGAAGCTACCATCTAATTCAAGGTCTTGAAAAGTGGTGACTTTAAGACTTGTGGATTGCAACTCCCAGAAGCGTAGCTGACTGAGGAATTCTGAGAGTTGAAGTCCACAGATCTTAAAGTTGCTGAGTTTCAAGACCTCTGATCTAGTTTCTGTAGATCTGCTTTTAAAAGCTGTAATGTCAATGTATTGGGCAGAGGAAAAAATACCAGCTCCATGGATCAAATCTTTCCCAGTCCTACCACGTCTGCTGCTTAGACATCTGACTAGAAAGCCACATTTTGAGTAAGAGTGGATACATAACTATTGCTTAGGAACAAATTTGGGCACAACCAAGTTATTTCAGTAGGCAAATAGCTATGCAACTTAGTGTGGGGACCGACATAAGCTTTTAGGATTCTAGCTTTTTATAAATGCTGGTGATATTTCCCACACAATAGCATGCCTCACATCCTTGTAGGCAGCTGAACATCAAGTTCTGTTAGTTTATGCAGTGCATTAGCAGTTTACTTTATCCATAGAAAGGTAAGAGGTAGGAAGATCTCTGCCCTGAGCAGCTTTTACTGAAGTATTTTGTGTTGCAGAGGGAAATAGAAATAAGAGTAACTGGGAGAATAATTGTCTCTCATTGGTACATCTTTTAAGTTCAGTTGTAAGGAAAGGATATAAATTCGTGGCCTGAAGGTTTGAAGGAAAGTGCTGGCATTTTAAAGAGGTTGTTGACTAAGTTATATATCCTGCCTTAAATTCAGAGCTTAAGATTTCCTGTATAGCAATGGTTCTCAACCTTTTTAATGCCGTGACCCCCCCCCCCAACCGGTCGTAAGTCGAGGACTACTCAACCGGTCGTAAGTCGAGGACTACTCAACTGGTGCAGCACCGTTTGCAGAATGGGACTTTTGGCGGGCTCAGCAGGGCAGAGACAGCTTGGACAATTCCTATTGGCTTTTGAAAGTCAATAGAATTAGACTCTATTCAAGAGAGGGAGTAGCACAGCTAAGGAAAAGGGGGGGAAAAATGGCGGACTGCATTGTTTGGCGACCCTCGTGAAATGGTCGTTCGACCCCAAATGGGGTCCCGACCCACAGGTTGAGAACCACTGCTGTATAGTGGTCTCTCCTCCTGTTTCCCCATATTCACTAGGCAGAGAGCATAGCCATGTGCTGTTTTAATGCTATCTTACTAAAGATACCTCAGTCTGGTCTAATGGTTAAGGCACCAAGGCAGGAGACCATGAGTTGTGTCTTAGTTGTGAAAGCCAGCTGAGCAACTAAGTCTGTCACTTTCTTAGCCCAGCCAAGCTCAAAAGAGTTTAAATATAAATAAATGGAATTGAATGAATAGAGATCTACTAGAAGGATGTGGACATAAAGGGAAAAAGTTGGAGTAGATCACATTTCTGGATTCTGAACTAGATAAGAATTTAGATTAGATAACCTTGCCATTTTTTTTCCTGTGGGCACAACGGCACGTATTAAAAATTCAATTTAGTTGCTCTCAAAGTGTACACATACATAGCACACATTTAAAACATATTATATACAACATATGTATAGACCCACACCCCTACATATACATAACAAATAAATATTAAATACTGTCCATCTTGAATATATAACGGAAGGAGGAAGCTTGAGAGTTCACAAGGTTAATACTGTATGGAACAAAACTGTGGCTGAATCTGGATGTTCTGCTGCGGATACCACGGAGCCCCCTCCCAGAAGGGAACAAGGAAAACAGGTTGTGAAGAGGATGTGTAGTGTCCCAGACAATCCTGTGGACCCTGCTTAAGCAACGCTTCTGTGCCATGTCCTGGATGGAAGGGAGGGGAACTGCCAATGATCTTTTCAGCCTTCTTCACTCTCTACACTGCGTTCCTGCCTGAAGCAGTGATGAAAGGGGTGATCATAAAGTGTTTACAAATTAGAAAATTGATTCTTAAATGTACACCTCTATAAAGAGGCCGCAGCTTTGTAGGAAATTGGGTTCAGTTGTGCAGAACAGTTTGGCAGTTCGGTTCATTGTGATGAGCTACATTAATCACAAGACGATAATTTTTTAGAGATCCCAGTGGCTGGATTTGGATAGCATTCTAAAACCAAAGCATGCCGAAGTAAATCATGATTAGGTATAAGGGTCAGCAGGCGTTTCTGCCTTGGGAGTACTTCTTGCCCTCCCCTGTGGGTGGTTCACTAGTATTCTAATTTTTTGGTCCAAGAATATATTTGCTACTTTATGGTAAAGTAGAGCATACATAATTCTACGTAAATTGAGATTTGCTAGTCTTTGTTTTTGAGTTCTGATAGTCTGAACTGTCTGGATTTTGAGAGTTTTAAGATTTTAGGCTTATGTGTAATGCTTGCCCTAACAACCATTCATTTGAAGTCACAACACTCAAAACAGTTACAACTAGTTCTCACACCTAATGACTGTGTTGTACCATCCCTGTGGTTATGTGACCAAAATTGAGTTTGGTAATCGCCATCTATTTATGATGATTACAGCATTCCAGGTCATGCGGTTGCACTTCGGATTTGCTTAATTATTTGCATGATTCACTTAACCAATAAAGTGAATATTTGTAGCTCTGGGTTGAAATGAGAGATCCTTGAAGCTCTCTGAGCTTGTTTTTTTTTTTTTTTTTTTCAGATGTTTCATGACCCAAGCTAATTAACATCAGTGTTAGTCAATTAGCCATCATCAACCAGCACTGATGATCCACCAAGGATCCCTCACTTAACAATTGCAGTGATTCTTTTAACGACTGCCTTGCTTAGCAATCTAAATTCTGGTCCCAATTAGGACAAGCTGTAATTAGTAATACATGACTGGATATGAGGATTTTTTTTTTTATTTAGGGCCTGTATGTCAACTTTTGAATATAGAATAATAAGAATGGGGAGGGTCCTTTGAGGAGATCTAGTCCAATCTCCTTGCTCAAACTATTCTAGACAAATGATAGACTTAAGTCTATGCAGACAACAACCTGACTTGCTTCAGATATTAATAGTTCTGGCTGAATGATAGAATTGATAAAAGGGAGGCATTGTCTGGGTGCGTGGGTGTGTGTCCAGGCAGTGCAGCAATCGTTTTATTTAAATGCAACATTTCCTGGGCTATCTTCTAACATGAGAGCACCATAGTTACTTGCAAGGAAATTAAAGCCAACATGTGTCATGATGTAAACGGAGACCACTTTCATCAGATGTGCCTTGTGTTATCATTTGCATAGAGAAGTTAACGATGCACGGGTTACTATTTGATATTGCTTATTTCAGATGCTTATGTAGAGCATTGCATGAATTTCAGGCTGATAAATACAATAGCTGCTTTGTTTACTGGACAGCCTTCTTGTACCTTTTGAACTTCTTGTCTTTAGACAAATCATCTGATATAGGTCCCAAAAGGCTATCCGGGATGTCAGATTGGAGATGCAGTGAAATCCTGGTTTGTTTCAACTATTGGGTTGAATAAGGCATAGTGTTGAGTTAGCATATTGAACTAAGACACCTCTAGATTTGCAACCACAGTGAATCGGTATATATACACATGTGAAGCCAAAGCCATATTACGGATTAATGCAATGAGAAGCCTCCCTCACTTGAATTATGAATAAATTTGGATGAATTAATATTAGTATGAATTGTGGTTTGTTAATCTACAAAGAACTTGTTCATACATCAGGACATAATGTAATTAGGTTTTAATATGATAGATATGAATCCAGCCAATATCAGCATTCAGGTGAATTCCTATATAGACATAACAGATGACAATTTCAACAGGCACAAGAAGGTTAATCTTGTGTACAGGTATAGGTAATCTTCAATTTACAACCAGAATAGGGACTGGGAATTTTATTATTAAGCATGGGGATTTAAGTGAATAATCATGACAGACCTTTTTTGCCATATTCATTAAGGAATCACCATGGTCATTAAGTGAGACATGTGACCATGTCTTGTGAACTTGCTGATTTTTTCTTTTGCTTGTCAGAAGCTGGCTGGAAGATCACACATTGTAATCACATGACAGGAAGACGCTGCAACCATTGTTACGTGCAAGGACCACTTGCAAGTCACATTATTTAGCATGATCATAACTTCAAACAGTTACTCAGCAAATGGTTATTCAGTTGAGGACTACCTCTATGGCACGTTCTTTGTGGATTAGTGACTTCTTAAATTTGTGCAGCTGCCTGTGCACTTGTGAGAAATAATTCCTATGTTTAGTGGGATTGACTTCTCCAGTAATGTCAAAAGAATAATGGATAGTCTTGCAGGAAATATGGAATTTCCTGCTTCCTCTGTAAAATAACTGTAGTTAATTACCTGTGTAATTTCCTGCTTCCTCTGTAGAATACCCCCCAGTTATCCATCCTTACCTTCAAAAGAGAATAAAACAAGACTGCAGGTTCTAGGTGCTTTCTTAGAATTAGATCTGGGATAAGTAGCATTTTGACATGGTCTTCATCCATATATCTTCCCGCAGGTCCACCATGTCTGACAGAAAGGCTGTGATCAAAAATGCTGACATGTCTGAGGACATGCAGCAGGATGCTGTCGATTGTGCCACGCAGGCCATGGAGAAGTACAATATAGAGAAGGATATTGCCGCATACATCAAAAAGGTATGTTTCTGTCGGCGAAGCGTAAGGAGGCAGGGGCGGGGTTGAACAGGTTGTTGTTGAATTATAACCCTAATAGAGCCTTGCCTGTTACGATTGTGGCAGTTGTGAAGTGATTCATCATGTGACTGACCCAATTTTACGTGTTTTTTAGCATTTGTTAAGCAAATCACTTTGGTCATTATTAAACACATTCATTGTTTGCAGTGGGGCAGTTTTGCTGAAAATAGAAAGTAAACACCCTATGTCAATCAAGATTCAATCAATCCAGGGCAAAGGTATCTAAACGATTGAATCATGGCAACTGGACCAAACTTTGTTAATCTGAGACATTTCGTTGCTCATCCAAGCAACTTCATCGGTCAAAGTAAAAAATTAGGCAGTTAGTCATTGGAACGTACCAACTCTTGCCAAACCAACTTTAGGGGTTTCTCCCCAAAATGCACTGCGATATATCAATATGAAGTAAGTGGCAGTTTTCTCCCCCAAAAATAATAATTATGGTCATGTGACCATGGGATGGTGCAAACGGCCATAAATATGGGCCAGTTGCCAAGTGCCAGAAATGCAGTCACATCACTGCAGGGGAAGCGAGATTGGGACGTTGATCTGGGTTGTAAGTAACTTTTGGGAAGGTATGTTGTAACTTCACTGTCATGGCTTATCTGAGCCAGATGTTTCTGGTAAAACCTCAAGGGAGTCTTACAGGCAATTACAACTTTTCTGTGCTGCTGTCTTTGATTTAGAACAGTGTTTCTCAACCTTGGCAATTTTAAGGCATGTGGACTTCAACTCCCAAAATTCCAGAGCCAGCAATGCTGGCTATGGAATTCTGGGAGTTGAAGTCCACATGCCTTAAAATTGTCAAGGTTGAGAAACAGTGATTCAGAAGGTTCTTTCTGATTATTCTAGAAGTGAAGTTTGCCTATCACAGCCTGGTTTCCTTAGGCAAGGAATCATACAGTCAACCAGCACTGCTGGCTGGGGAATTCATTGTAAACCATGATTGGTGTCTGAATACAACATAATTAAACCAACACTGAAAAAACTTGTTGCAATTTGGGGTAATGACTATACCGAAACAAGACAGTATAATTGGTCTGTCTAAATTCTGTGTGGAGTATTGATTGCAGAGTTTCAAACAAAAATTTCCCCTTAGAGATCCCAGGAACCAAACTAGGGACAGAACGTACGTGTTTTGTCTGAGTAACTCTCTCTGAATTGGAAGGCTTATTGTGTTCTGCCTTTAATTATTTGTTTAAATCCAAAGCTGTTAGACAAAACAAACAGAAACATTAAGTGGGGATTTTTTAAAAAGTGATACTTTCTACTGGAACAAGATCCAAACTGATTTGCGAAGAGTTGTTAATGGTAAAGAACTTTTGGGAGGAGTGAGTGTACTAATGGATTGGGGAACGGAGTTAACATTAGGTGCAGTTAACTCAGCTGCCTACCTCTGAAGGTTTGGAATCGCAGGATGATTTAAGTAGATTTAATTAAATCTACTTAATTAAATTATTATAAATTAATACATTTTAATGAATGAAAAGGATAAATTATTATAAATTAAATTAAGTAGATTAAGAAGATTTAGGGATGTGAGGAAAAAAACAACTGGAAATGCAAATGTGGAAGAGCCAGGTATTAGTAAAGAATACAGGTGGTCCCCAACTTAAAACCATTCATTTAACAACCGTTTGAAGTTACAAGGGTACTGAAAAAAGTAACATACAACCAGCCCTCACTATTAACAACCATCACAGCACCCAGTCACATGATCAAAGTTTGATTGCTTGGCAACCAGTATATGTTTATTTTTATTTTATAAATGTTTTATTAATTTTCTGGTTTTACAATCGTAAGTACTTAATAAACAATGTGTTGTCTGCGTCCATTAGTAATTCAGTGGTACATATTAACTTTTCAGTCTAGGCCCAATATTACCCCTTCCAATGCTTCTTCTCTTCTTCCAGTAGTACACATTTTCCAGCATAGGAGTTTTTTTGTAAACTTTTTAATATAAATTTTAAAATGGGATTGTTATCAGGTCAGGGAAGATGCTTGTCAGCTGGTCCAGCTGAATTGGCATCACTTCCCCCCCCCCCGGTACTCTTTACACATACATAACGCACACATTCACATTCTGTGTACAGGTAGTCCTCACTTAACGACCAATTAATAAAACAGGTCCTTTTGGGCACCAGGGACCAGTTCCATGGAGAAAAGTTTTGTGTGCTACCTGCGTGGTTTTGTGTGCTGCCTGCGGATGGGGCTTTGCTTGTTTGTGTGGACCGGTTGCTGGCATGCCACAGCCCAGTACCGGTCCATGGACCAGGGGGGTTGGGGACCCCTGATCTAAAAGGTGCATCCCATGGTCATGTGATCATATTTTGGGGCACTTGGCGATAGATTCACGTGGCCATTTGCTGCATCCTCTGACCACAGTTGTGAAAAGGACTAGGGGTGACATGATAACAACCTTCAATATTTGAAGGACTGCCACAAACAAGAGGGTGTCAACCTATTCTTCAAAACACCTGAGGGCAGGACAAGAAACAATACATGGAAACTAATCAAGGAGAAAACCACCCGAGAACTAAGGAGAACTTTCCTATCAATGAGAACAATTAGCCAGTGGAATAACTTGCCTCCAGAAGCTGTGGATGCTCCATCACTGGAGGCTTTTAAGAAGAGACTGGACAGTCATTTGTCTAAAATGGGATAAGGGTCTCCTGCGTGAGCAGGGGATTGAAGTAGAAGACCTCCAAGATCCCTTCCAACTCTGTTATTTTTCTGTTATTCTGGTTTTCAGTGAGTTTTTGCCAGCTTTCAGCATTTATTTCTGGTTTCCGGCAAAATGCACCTATTAGATAACATGGAATGGAAGGAAAAGAAATTAAGCCTGTAGCTTGATCAAATCACACTGGAATAAGGAATTTGGGATCCATATTATTTCAAGGCAAAGCAGAAGTAAAAGTACTATTTAAAATGTGGGCAGTAGGAAACGAATGATTTTCTTCAACAGTTACAAAAAAACATGAACTTTTTGCTCCAAAATTCAATACTACACAGTATTTCTGTAATTCTAAACTCTTCTAATCATCAAATCCCAGCATTAAAATTTCATTTCAGTTTCAAAGCAAAAAGTCCCAAAGTAACCTCCGTGAAGAAACAAAGCTAGATAAAATCTTTTTTTTTTTTTAAATTAAAGTAGTTAGTTTCACCATCTAGGATAGTTCCATTAACTTCACCAACCATTTTTCCATTGTGGAAGTCTGTAGATTGGGAAACATTGATGCATTAAATGGGAAATGGATGTAAATTTCCTTGAGAAAATGTGGTAGATGTCAATTTGGAAAAGGAGGTAGGAAGAATATTTTGTTTTAACTTGATAAGAGGTAGCCCTCGACTTGCGACATTAATGGAGCCTGCAAAGTAATGAGCCATTTTTTCCCCTGTGGTCGTTAAGTGAACTAATTGTTTGATATGGGCTAGATTTGCTGAAAACTGGAAGTAAATGCTTGCTTTGGGCAAAAAAAACCCCACCAATTGTAAAACATGATTATATGACTATAGGACGCTGCAAATGCCGGCCAAAATGCGGTCACATGACCATGGTGGGGCATTGGAATTTTGGAACCGGATCATATAAACCCCAAGAGAGAGACCCATTGTATATAATTGAAATGGTCATAAGTCAAGGACTACCATGTTTTCCCGAAAATAAGCCCTAGCATAATATTTCAGGCTGCTTGTAATATAAGCCCCACCCCCAAAACAAGCCCCAGTTAAAATAGTTAGATGCATTTAGTACCGTATTTCCCTGAATATAAGCCCTAACTGGAAAATAATCCCTAATGCATCTTTTGGAGCAAAAATTAATATAAGACCCGGTCTTATTTTGGAGGAAACACGGTTTCTGTAAAAAAAATACATTATCACGACTAATAGGTATACTTTGCTTTATGTACCATGCAGCTTTACATGTCATAGAGTGTGAGATTTTATTTTAAAAAATTATTGAAATGATCAGAAGCAGACAGCTGGGTATTAAATCTTTGAGTACTACCTTATATAGGAAATCCTCTACTTACGACCACTATTGAGCCCAAAATTTATGTTGCAAAGTGAAACATCTGTTAAATGAGTTTTATGGCCTTTTTTTGTCACCGTTGTTAAGTGAAACACTGCAGTTGTTCAATTAGTAACATGGTTGCTAAATAAATCTGGCTTCCCCATTGACTTTGCTTGTGAGAAGGTTGTAAAAGTGACCACATTATCCTGGGACATTGCAACCGTCATAAATATGAACCAGTAGCCAAGATTCTGAATTTTGATCATGTGACTATGGTGATGCTGTAATGGTTGTTAGTGTCATAAGTCACTTTTTTCAGTGCCATTTAACTTTGAATGGTCACTAAATGAACTGTTGTAAGTGGAGGACAACCTGTATTCTCCGGGCAAGGGATTATGGTAGTGTAGCCAAGAACATTTGAAGCATTGTCCAAACAAAGAGGTAGTCAAGAGAAACACTCAAGTCCATTTCATCAAAGGAAAAATAATAGTTGGCACGATCCCGCCATATATTTTTAATACTGTCCTTGGGTCACATTAAAAAGTGTCATTTGATTGACTTTAGTGGTGGCCCCCAAGATCGCCTAAAATTGAGGTGGGCTGGGAGAATGCAGTCAAAACCCTGTTTCTTTTTTTATGGATGTTGTGCAATGCACACACGTCCAAATTCCTCCTGTGCTTCCTCATCATGATGTCTGTGGTGTTGCTCCTGGGAGGAATGAATATATACACTTTTTTGGCATATACTCCTGGGATTATATATATCCCCCTGCCACTCAAGGTATGACGCTCATTCCCGCAGCCCAGTTAAAGCAAGCAGGCCCCTGCTTGCATTGGACAGCAACAATATTGTAGAGCAGAGGTGTCCAACTTTGGCACCTGGCTGGGGAATTCTGGGAGTTGAAGTCCCCAAGTCTTAAAAGTTGTCAGCTTTAAGCTCTGTGGACTTCAACTCCCAGAATTTTCCAACCAAGCATGCTGGCTGGGGAATTCTGGGAGTTGAAGTCCACACAGTTTAAAGCTGCCAAAGTTGTGAAATACTCCTGTGGTGGAAGATACCAGAGGCCAACAGCAAAAAGGATCAATTCACAGTGTGCAGAAGGCCCATAGTATTATATTTTTTACTTGTATTTTTACCAAGAAAACCACTGGGATAGAAAATTGAAAGCAATTGGCAGTTTATGGAGACCATATAACTGAGCTGTTGGTAAGAATCTGAAGGCACATAAATCAGTGCAGGGTAGTTTCTCTCACACAGTTGCCATTTTCAGTTTCTGACACACACACCCTCCCCCATTCCTCAGGGCTGGTCCAAAAATTCAAGATGGTGGCCTCCACTGTGCAGTCAAAGCCGTGGCCCTTGTCTACATTACACGGCTGGGTTCGTTTTCTTTTCCAACTGCAGATGCTCTCCCCTTACAAGCCAAGGCTTGATTTGCATGTCTGAAAATGCTCTGTCGAAGATGCTGCACAGACCGCTGTTTTTCACCTTTCCATCCCGCTTTTGCTTTTTCCTCAGGAATTTGACAAGAAATACAACCCCACCTGGCACTGCATCGTGGGCAGGAACTTCGGTAGCTACGTAACGCATGAGACGAAGCACTTCATTTACTTCTACTTGGGCCAAGTGGCGATTCTGCTCTTCAAATCCGGCTAGGGGTTCAGGCCAGCACCTGTGGGGGAGGTCACGGCTGGTGAGGAACATGGACTGTAGCACTAAAGACAGGCTCCAGCTCTTTAACCATGGCTGCACCACTGCATGGACTCGATACTATATTTAATGTGTATATGTTGCCGTAAAAAATACCTACAATTCTCATTTCTTTCTCTGTTTTGGGGGGATTGCCTAAGAGAAGAAAGGCAGTGTATTATCCTCTCTTCCTCCTCTTTTTTTTTGTTTTTTGTTTGTTTTCCCTTTTATGTTCCTGCTTCTTATTTTTTTCTGTTCTTTTGCACTAGGAGAACTGTAAAATGCTTCAACATTGGCCTTTAAGTGAGAAGAAGAAATAAAATAAAACAAGAAACTTCAATTCCACAAAACAAATCTTTGGGTTTAACTTTCTTCTTGCAGAAGGCTGGAGGCCTAACCCTAGCAGAGCGGGGGCGGGGGAACTGTGTTAGGTGTAGAATCTCTCTAAAAGTTCACTAAATTATTTTTAAATTCCTGTCTAGCTTCCACTTCCCGAAATGGCACTATTGTCCCATGAAGTCGCCTTAGCTCTAAACAAAGTGATTGGAGGCAGCCCTGGGTGCGTCTATGTATCTGTGTGTTGTCTTGGCCTAATTTTCTTTGCTTTTCTTTGATTCACCCGTGCTGCCTCCAACACAAATGGAGCAAACAAAGCTGATATGATTTGCAAAATGCGTGGTATCCTCTAGAGGAGACGCTTCTCTCCCCCCCCCCCCCCAAAAGAATCGCCTGGGCTATCTGTATCGACATTTCTAAAGCATTTTTCAAATGAAAGATGTCTACTCTTGTGTCCAAGATTCTGTCGTGATGCCCAATGGATGTGATCAGGATTTTCTATGCCTGTTTTGAGTCTGTACAGTATTGCCTTATTGTAGCTCATGTCCTCTCATTGTGCAGGGAAGATCCTGTCCAAAATCAGTGGCTTAAATGTTGCTGTGCTTTAAATGTCCTCCAGTAAAGATGAATAGACCTTCATCTCTTAGAGGCTGAACCCCAGTCTTCTTCTTCTGCTGGCTTTCTATTCTGATCCCCTCTTGACCCAACAAGATGTCAGGAGTAGCTCTGTACCTAACTAGCTCCTGAACGTGCAAGGAAAGGTCTCCTCTGGGCTTTCTTAGCTTCCTTAGTCTATGGTTGTACAGGAATACGTTTAAGTTCTGTTGCAACAATAAAAACAAACAAACCTGGGATTGCTTTTTTATTTTTGCAAAGGTGACGTACAAAGTACAGTGTTAGCTTTAACATCTCTGGTTGCTTTTTGCAGTTCAAAGAGCCTAGAAATTTCTATTTTGGGGGGGGGGGGGAAGCAGTTCTTTAAAAACAAATGGGATGCAAAGAAGCAAGAAGACTTTTATTGAAGGAGCTGGGTTCATGGAGTTTCTCAGTCATCCAGGTCCTTTCAAAAGGCAACTGGACCTTCTTGGGTTTTCCTTTTGAAAAGCTTTGCTTCTCATCCAAGAACTGAAGAAGCAGCTTCTTGGATGAGAAGCAAAACACTTCAAGGAAAAAACAAAGGGCCAATCGCCTTTTGAATAAGCACCTTTGAGATGCCCTGGGTTCAAAGTGTGAGGATGCGGCCCCTGTTCTTTTCCATTCGATACCCAAAGTTATTGGTTAGAGAATTATGGCGGTCTCCCCTCATTTATTGGGGAGGGGGCTGTGTCTGAAAGAACAAGACAGATCCAAATCATAAGAATGCTGAATCCAAAGCATACCCCAAAATAACAGGCTCCTTGTAGAACTGTTTCATGAAACAAAACAAATGGTCAAAGTTGGAACGGCTGTTGTGTTTAATGTTCATTGGTTTTTTTCCATCCAAAGAGGTAGAGAGGCAGTGGCAAAGTAAGTGCCTGGGGTTCAGAGGGCACCGTCCCACAGAAAACATTGTCCTTCATTGGAGAAAAAAAAAAAAAAGACGACTGTCTTGTTTCTTTAATTCTGTGCATGAGTCCAACTGTGAATAAGCTCACTTCATGGAGTGCGAGAAACGAATCCTTCCCATCCTAACTGCAGTTGCTCAGACTAACCCTTTTTATTTTTCAAAAACATTAAAATCAAATTGACACATTTAAGAACGGTGTTGAATTTTCTTTTGGGGGCGTGGGGGGGGTTGGAGTAGGATATGTATACAATTTTGCGTATTCTGGGGGAGGCGCTAAGTTACAGGTAGTCCTCAACTTACAACAGTTTGTTTAGTGACTGTTCAAAGTTGCAGCAGCACTGAAAAAAGTGATGGTCGTTTTTCATACTTAGACCGTGGCAGCAGTCCCATGGTCACGTGATCAAAATCCTGAAGCTTTGTAGCCGACTCGTATTTATGACTTGCAGAGTCCCGGGGTCATGTGATCACCTTTAGTGACCTGATGAGCAAAGTTAGTGGGGAAACCAGATTCACTTAACAATCATGTTATTAACTGCAGTGATTCACTTAACTGACAGGTTGTAAAATGGGGAAAAATTCAGGTAACTTATCAACAGAATTTTTGGGCTCAGTTGTTACGAAGATCACCTGTAGTCCTGATCAGGTCATCTTTATGACTTTATTAAATTTATATGCCACCCATCTATTAATAGCAACTCTTGGCAGTTTACAACATAATACAAACAAAGATTAAATACTTGAAGAGCATGGGGGTGGGGATCTTCTCTCTAACCCATCAGGCACTCCCAGCATAGAGTGTCCCTATCGGAGCCCTAGACCAGCCAACAGGGCCAGGTTTTAAGACTTTTAGTAGACCAAGACTATGGGAATTGAGCTCCCCTTCAATGGGATAATATTCCAAAGGGTAGCGGCCACAGCAGAAAAGACTTCTAGATCCCACTAGCCAAAATTCTTAAGCAGATGGAATCTAGAGTAGGCCTCTTCTGGAGTGAGTGGGATGGGCCAATCCTATTGAGGTGAGATGGTTCCTCAGATACCCGGGACTCGTGCCATAGTGACATAGCAATAGCACTTAGACTTATTTACCGCTTCACAGTGCTTTACAGCCCTCTAAGCAGTTTACAGTCAGCCATACTGTCCCCACTCCCGATGATCTGGGTCTTCATTTTACTGACCTCGGAAGGATGGAAGGCTGAGTCAACCTTGAGCTGGCTGGTGAGAATTGAACCCCTGGCAGTCAGCAGAATGCAGTACTGCATTCTAACCACTGTGCTACCATGGCTCCAACATGTACAAAGCATAAGCCCTAATCAGCATGGTGGTAGTGATCGAGTTGGAAATATTTGCTCTGCAAGCTTGGGAAGGCTACAGCATCGTGGTTCTTGGTCTAAGAAGCTAATCATCTGCTTAGAAAAAAAAATACGAAGAATAGAAGGCAATGACGGCCTGTTGATAGGAAATCTATAGAGAACGTTGTAGAAACATCTGGAGGATACTAGACAGATATGGACTTTGGCCCACACCCGTTTTTACCGAAACCTAGATGACTCAACATGGTCTGACAAAATTGGCTCAAACTACACCAGGAAATGTTCATTAATCAGTACTCCTCTCAAGAAACGTTCCCTGCACGTAGAAAGCCATCTATCTCATGGACAAGTTCTTTTTACAGCTAGTTGTTGCATAGCAACCAAGTTACAATGGACCTTTCCGGAGGTACTTAACCTGGTTCTGGAGTCCCAACAGCTGTGCTCCCCCACAGTCACATGATCACGTGTTGGGCACTTGACAATCCTCTCACATTTGTGGACATTTGCAGTGTCCACAGTCACATGACTTTTTTTTAGCAGTTCCGGTGTTTACTTCCATTTTCTGGCAAAAAAATACCCATTAAGTAAAACATCCACTTACCAACCAAGACGTTCTCTTAACCACCAAAAAAGATGTAAAATCAGGACCTGCTAAAGAACTGCCAAAACTTAAGTCTAACTTGAGGATCAATCATACATCTCTAGGACTACCTGAAATGGCTGAGTTCATGTGCTATGTGTAACCATAAGTAATCAAACTGAATTCACAAATCATGCTAAATGGTAAATGAACCAAACTGGGTGATTTGTCAGTGACTTCACTGTGGTTCAAGACATTTTTTTTAAAGATGTGTGGACTTTAACTCCCAGAATTCCTCAGCCAACCCAGGCTTGCTGGGGAATTCTGGGAGTTAAAGTCCACACATAGCTGAAATATTCAAGACACCGAACCCCCCATTATTATCTTTATAGTACAGTAGCAAGTGTATATTCCTAACTGTTATGTCCCGAGCCTTGCAAACGGCTCGGGCGTTTGCAGGCAGTCCCGGGCAGGTGCAAAGCTGCCCGGGACCAGACAGGCTGTCGCCAGCGCCGTGCGCATGCGCGGGTGCTGGCGCGGGAAAAGTATCGCATTTACCCGGGAAATGTCTATATAAGAAGCTGGGAGGTTTTGGGAGCTGCTGAAGCCATCTACTTGTAAGCTGAACGCAGAATAAAGAAAACTGAGAACTTCAACTGCTTCTCGTGTCTGCTTTCCGCCAAGGACTCAACACTGGCGACGAGGATGGGATCGCCTTACACCGCCTGGAAAGGAAGAAGTGTAAGCTTACCCAAGTGAGTCCTGAGCGGCGGAACGGCGTCGACTCGGCAGCTACCCGCCAATCCAGTGTGCATTCGGGGGTAGGCTGGCTGATAGACCCGTCTCCTGAAGATGGCGAAAATCGGAAGGCTTTCGGAATTCGACGTCTCACATCCAGAGCGGTGGGAGTCATACGTAGCCAGGGTGGAGAACTACTTCAAGGCAAACCAAGTGAGGGAAGAGAGCTTGAAGGCTGCCACCCTGCTTTGTGTTTGCGGTCAAGACGCCTTCGACATCGCAGAAAACCTTGCAGCACCTGTTCCAGTAGAGTCTGTCAGCTACGCAGATCTGAAGAAGCTACTGAAGGAGCACTTCCACCCCAAGATGTCCGTCATCGCATGGCGCCACACCTTCGAGCAGAGGGATCAACGGCCCGGTGAGTCGGCCAAAGAATTCATCGCCGCATTACGGAAGGCCGCCAAGCACTGCGAGTTCAAAGACCTCGAAGAACGACTGAGGGACCGATTCGTGTGCGGGTTAAGGCATCGAGATCTACAACAGAGACTTTTCGCTAAAGAAGAATTGTCCTACCAAGATGCCTTAAGGGAAGTCACCGCAGAAGAAGCAGCAGGCGGCGCTGTCAAGAACATGCGGCCGATCAGAAACAGTCCAGAGGTTGCATCCGTGCACCAGGAAGACGTCCAAAGAAACTCCGAGGAGGATCCGGACGAGGAAGTCGACCGTCTCCACCCCACGAAGGAAGAAAAACAGAAGGGAAGCTCTTCAGCTCCGCTCAAGTGCATCGGCTGTGGAGGTCGCCACAGGAGAACCGACTGCAAGTTCCGCTCCGCTACCTGCCGGGCATGCGGCAAACAAGGACACATTGCAGCTGTGTGTCTGGGCCGACGAAAGGTACAACCTCAGGAAGAACTGCGCCTGAAAGGTACCAGATTCCCCAGCCAGAATAGGGTAGGGTTTTGCGCTTCGCGAAGAAGCATCCTTAGGACAGGCACACACAAGCCCATTAAGAAAAAGCTGTCACTCAAGGTGAAGCTACAAGGGGTTCCATTATCTATGGAACTAGACACAGGGTCTGCCTTTTCAATTATCTCCTTGCATACATTTAGGAAGATTTGTTCCGGTAGTGGAACTCAGGCCAAGTTAAGGCCTTCTGACATTGTGTTAACAGATTTTCAAAATTCAAGAGTGTGTGTTAAGGGGGAGGCCACCCTTAACGTGCAATACAAGAGTTTTGAAGGTCCACTAGACTTATTAGTAGTAGGGGGTGAACGAACGAGTCTCATAGGACTCGATTGGTTTGAGGCCCTGGGGATACACGTCACAGGACTCAACAGTTTACAAACACTCGACCTACAGGAAGTCTGCAAAGAATTTGCAGATGTTTTCAGCCCCCAGCTGGGCACATTCAAAGGACCCCCTGTGTCCTTAAAGCTAGACCCCACTGTCACTCCCATTAGAATTAAAGCAAGAAGGGTCCCTTTTGCTTTAAAGAGTAAAATTGACACTGAGTTAGACAAACTGATTCAACAGGGAATCCTAGAACCTGTTGATTCCAGTCCTTGGGAGACCCCCATTGTCACGCCTCTAAAGGCAAATGGGGACATTCGCATTTGTGCTGACTACAAATGCACTCTGAATAAGGCATTGCAGCAACATGCCTATCCTGTTCCTGTGGTCAGTCATATTCTGGCCTCCCTCAAGGGGGGGCGCGTTTTTGCAAAGCTTGACCTAGCTCAAGCGTATCAACAGCTGCCTGTTGATGATGATGCTGCTATAGCTCAGACTATTGTGACCCACAGGGGAGCCTTTAAGGTAAAAAGGCTGCAGTTTGGAGTGAATGTCGCTCCTGGGATTTTCCAAAGCGTAATGGAAAACACACTGCGGGGCATACCGGGGGTTTGCCCCTACTTTGATGATGTCTTAATTGCAGGAGACTCCACACATATTCTAGCTGAAAGGCTAAGGGCTGTTCTGTTAAGATTCAGGAAATCAGGCCTCAAGCTCAAAAAAGACAAATGCAAGATTGGGGTGCCTTCTACTGAATTTCTGGGGTTCAAAAATGATGCTGCTGGGATTCACCCTGCTGAATCCAAACTGACAGCTATTTTAGAAGCACCTAGGCCAAAGTCCAAGGCCGAACTTCAGGCCTTCCTGGGCCTCCTGAATTTCTACAATTCTTTTCTTCCACATAACGCTAGTGTAGCTGAGCCTCTTCACAGGCTACTAGACAAGCAAGCAGTGTGGCGGTGGTCACAGACGCATGAGGCCTGCTTTAACGAAGTCAAGGCCCTGCTCACTTCTAACAGTGTACTTGCACATTTCATCGAGTCCCTTCCTGTGTGCATCGCTTGTGATGCGTCCCCTTACGGGGTTGGAGCTGTCCTGAGCCACCTCAGGTCTGATGGAACTCAGGTTCCTGTTGCATAGTACTCCAGAACATTGTCTTCTGCTGAGCGCAACTACGCTCAGATAGACAGGGAGGCTCTGGCTGTTGTTGCTGGAATTAAAAAATTCCATGACTTTCTATATGGCAGGCACTTCACGGTCTTCACTGACCAT